TCAGATTGGAAATGAGAAAAGAAATCCTTGAATTAATAACATCTGAACCAAAATATTTCTTGTATTCTTAGATTTCTAGAATCATCACACATTATACGTACTTCTAAGGTTTTGGATGTATAATCTCAGGTTATTTTCCAGAAAGCTTGTGCCATTTATACTCTCTCAACATCAAATAATTTTCATCTTTTCCAATTTGATATTTAAAATTTTAAACTCATTGATTTTATCATTAATTCATATTTCCTTAATTCTAATGAAATTAAATGATTTCTTACATGTTTATTCATTTTATTAATTTTTTGAATTATCTTTTCATTTAATTTCCCAATTTAACTAATTGTATAATGTCAGTATTTCTTTCTGGCAATTTGAAAGACCTTGTATAAGGAGTGTGTTAAGACGGTCAACTTTTGCCAGCAACTTCGTGAAGTGTCTTTATTTGTCTTGCACTTTTTCTTCTCACAACTGTTGATTAAAGTCAAGGACTTAGCACCAAACCATATACCCAGTTCTTTTTTTATTTTTTATATTTTGAAACAGGTCTCATTGAAACACTAAGTGACGTCAAGTCACAAGTACAAGGCTAGTCTTGTTCTTGCCTCCTCTTGCCTTAACCCCCGCACTCCCAGTTCTAGAATTGCAAGCATGTGCCACCACATCTAATTTACAATTTTAAAAATTTCTTTATTGTAAAAAATATCACACATACACACACACACACACACACACACACACACAGAGGCTATTCTCTAGTTATATGTACTGAATGACAAACTAAATCAACTCAGCAGTTTAAAACAATTAACATTGTTATGCTATAATTTCATAAGTCAGCCATTCAGGTAGGAAGATCTGGGAAGTTTCTTCTGATATGCTAGCGGATATGAACTGGGACTTAAAGACCTTCTTTAATGGAGTCAGACTTCTTTCTTACATGCTCGAGGATAAAACAGCATTCCAGTAAACAAGGGAGAATCTTCACAATCCTTTATAACCCAGTTTTGTATTGGCTTATAGTGTGCCTTTGTATTGTGCCTTTGTCACTGTGCTGTCTGTCTACAGAAATCTAGGACATTATTAATTAATGTATTTGGAGAAATCATTTTTTGATCTTCAGATATTTAAGTATCAGGTGTTGTGGTTATGTTCAATCAATTCTTAGTTCTTTTCATTCTTAAATTCCCATCAGTGACACATGTAAAACTTCTCTAAATGTGCCGGGGACCACACATTTAATTATACAGTTGCTATGTAAAGAATAAAAAGAGGGACTAAATAGTTCTTACCTAGCACTTCCCCACATTTCTGGATCATTCTTTCAAAATAAACTGAAATACTCTTAGTTACAGATATCTGGGTAGCCAACACTGCCCTTCATGCCTTGAAGTGATGATTGAACAGTGAATAATTTGATTCATTTTCTTTTTCTTTTTTTCTTTCTTTCTTTCTTTCTTTCTTTCTTTTTTTTTTTTTTTTTTTTTGTATTTTAGGGAAGGGTCTACACTTCACTAATAGTGTTCAGGGTCTCACCACTAGATCAGACTCATAGTGATCTGCCTGTTTACAGCCTCCCAAGAGCTGGGATTACAGGTGCACACCACCACACCCAGTCTCAATTACCATCTCAGTGCGCCCCAGGGGGAATTGAACCCCCACCCCCTGCACCTGCTTGCTATCACTTTAATTCCCTGAGCTATTTGGCCATCCCCTAGTTTCTATGCAGTGATTGTAGCACTCTTTCTTATACTGTCATGAGTGGTAAGGTAAAAAATAACATTACACTGGGGCTAGGGAGATAACTCAGTAGAATAAGCGCTTACCTGGCAAGCGCAAGGGCCTGAGTTCGATCCCCAGTTTCACCAAAAAAAATTTTAAAAATAAAAAGATAACATTACATTAACAGTCATTAAATATATTTCAATTAATAATTATTTTAGAAGATATTCTTCAGGTTCACCTGGAGGAAGGAACCCCTTTTAAGCATACATGGTAAACACACAATAAATGTTAAATTATGTTGCTAATCTCATAATCTAAAAATGGCAACTGAGGCCTCTGGCTATTTTCTGTGCCTCCAATATTGAATTTCAAAAACCTCTACCTAAAAATGGATCTGTAATTGTTGTTTAGAGAAAAGTAAATTAAATTAGATGTATCACATACACATGGTAATGATCCTCAGAATTCTATTTATCCTAAGTATCTTTTCATCATACCTAAAAAGAAAAAAATAAATTTTGGAAGAGAACACTGGAAAAAATTGTAAAATGCATCATCATAAGAGCAAGGATTGTATCCAGTTTATTTCAACATTCTCCCCCCCAGCACTAAGCATTGTGCCTTGCTCAGTAAGTTTTTATTAAAGGATATAAAAGCAGAAAACTATTTATTAGCCCTTTCCTGCTATCTGATCAGAATCTATGAAGTTTTTTAAAAAATCTACAAAATTTATTTTTCTTGGAGGCACCTGTAACTGTGGAGAAACTCTTTCACACACATCTGTTATCTGCCAGTCTTCTGGAATGAGTCAAGCCACACAAGCTCTTTAGCTTTAGAAAAGTCAAGCTCTTGAGGCCGTTTGCTGTCACTAAACTTTATTGTTAGACAGAATCTGAGACCCCATGGTTTTCCAGAGATGGAAGATTCTCAGATCACCTATGGCTAACCTGAACTTGTACTTGAATAGCCACAAGTTGAGCCAAAGTTCAGAATGTACTATATCCACCCTTTGGCCCAAATACAGACGGTACAGGCTCCAAATGGAGGCCACATGTCAGAGCCTAACCCTTGAGCTTTGGAGACACTACCATCTTATAGACATTCAGTAGATAGAAGACATAAATTTCATGTTGAGTACCAAGCACAGAGAAACTCTAGAACCATGTTCTCCAAGGTGAAAGCTTCTATCCTCTGGTCCTTTACTTGAATTAATTGAAATTAACGAAAGTGAAAAATTCAGCATTTAATCACACTTGTCATATTTCAAAGGTTAAATAGCCACATGACACAAGTGGCTACCATACTGAATAATTAAAATAGTGACTAATGCATTATAACAGGCTGTTTTATTAGACAGCACTGTTCTAAAATGTACTGCTTGTATCACACTGCAAATCATCTAAATCAAATCTTCAATCTTGCATGCATTTCCTAATTAACAAATCTGGGCTTTCAAATCTCTTTATTTAATTTGCTAGCATTATTCCCGTTAAAAACTTAACAGACCAAAACAAAATAGACATTATTACTGCAAAGAGCAAAGTTTCTGAAATTCAGTGTGAGGAGAAATCCTACTTAGTTTATGAAACAGCTAGATGATAGAAAATGTGTGAGGTATAAAAAAAAAATTTCATTAGTCAAATTGTATCAAAGGTTCAAACAAAATCTGAAAATGTTGTCAAACTTTAGCTATATCAAAACAAATTTGACAAATAACTAAGAATAATTACTTAACTCAAATATTATATACAAATTAGTTGGAAAACATATCCAAAAGCACACTTCTCTTAAATCTGTTTTCTTCCCACAATATTCCTTTCTCAAATGTGCTTCCTCCATAGAAAATGCAAAAATTGTTTCAAAATTATATATATATAATTATATATTCATAATTATATATATATATATGTCTTTTTGATACAAGATCTCACTCTGCAGCTCAGGCTGGCCTTGAGCTCACTTTGGTATCCCAGGTTGGTCTCAAACTTCCAAGGATCCTCCTGCTTCAGCTTCCCAAGTGCTGGAATTATAGGCATGCACCACTACACCTGTCCCATCCCAACTATATATTGACAAAAATTAAATGAATGAAAATTCCGGTACATAACCATGAAAAATAATAAAACTATATACCACATTTTCTATTTGAACAAAACTTATGTATGTGTTATGTGTTAATCAGATTTCCATTACCGTAACAAATACCCTCAGAATCAATATAAAAAGAGAAAATGGTTTATTTGGCTAATCATTTTAGAGTTTTCAACCTGTGGTCATTTGGCCCTGCTGTTTTGGGCCTGGAGTGATACAGTACACCATGGGGAGAGCCAGTGGTTAAGAAAACCTATTCATCTGATGGCAACCAGAAAGTAATAAGAGAGACATTGGCCAGGGTCTCAGTAACTCCTTGAAATACTTGCCCAGAGCAAATTAATCTTTTTCCACTAAGTATAATTCACAAGATTCCACCACCTCCTGACAGTGCCACCACAAGTTAGTGACAAAGCTTTAACACGTGGACCAGCACAAGACAATCCAGACCCTAATCATAGCAATGTGTGTGCAAAAATAAGCAAGTGCATGCTTGACTATATTGAGACAAAATTTTTAGCTCCTAATTTACATACAAGGCCTCCATTATATCTTTAATGTGCAATTGAATTTTGGTAAATAATAGCATTTTTGAAGTATGCATTTATGTATTTCTATTATATAATTTTTGCTATGATCCAGAAAAATGCATTTTAATAATCATTCTGCTTTTGACTATATTTCCAATTGAGTAAAAAATATCTCCTTTTATCTAGAAGCTGTCCTGGAAGTAAAGCAATATCCAGTGAAGAGGCAGAAATCAACCCAAGGGGTACCACAGAAAGGCACAAGCAAGGACACTGGTCCTCAGTTCTGAAGGGCAGCCAAGTTTAAATGTAAGTAGCAGTAGCAGTAGAAGGCAAGGGCCTAGCTATGGGGTGGTCCACAGGTGAGGTAGCCAGTCACTGTCCAGGAGCACGTGGGCATGTGGCAAGCACACGGCCAGCCTGCCTGCACATTCTATTATCCTGCCTCCCACTTAATTGCATTACTGCAAAAGATTTGAGATCACTATTACTAATACTAAGTTTTTTTTAATCTCTTAGAGTAATATATATGTGCTGAGTATGATCCTAGCTGATTTTTAAGCTCAGGCATGTTAAAATAGAGTTTTCAAATAATCATTTCCATTGAACCTGACTAGGTATCCAAATGTTCACCAGATGCTAGCTGCAAGATTTTGCAGAGGAAAATTGCTAACTTAAGCTTCTTTTCATGATTCAGCAAAGGATTTTAAGTAATAAAAGATCTGGAGATTTGTAAGATAAATAATTTTAGTACAAATGGGAAAATTAAAATAATCTTATCATCTCCCAGACATGTCTACATGTGTTTTAGTGCAATTATCATATTTCTCTTAATTGGGCCAATTTTTTTCCAGCTGATACTTTATAGTTTTAAGTTATGAGCTGCAATGAAAAACTGGTTCCTTCCAGATGACTGAAGCAATATGTACTAAAATTTCCTGAAGACAATTTAAGATGCATAAAATAAAACATGATATAAAATATAGTTTTATTCATGTATATCCGCAGTGAAAACTAACAGAATATTAGAATCTCTTTTATTCCTTAATTGATGTCTCAATAGGGGCAATAAAAACATAAAGCACATCATTAACTTTTGAACTTTGATGGAAAAAAACCTACAACATACCATCCATTTCTGACAAGTAGACATTATCTCATAGTACCCACAGCTATCCTATGCTTATTACTGTTGCCTGGTCTTAAGTGTGACTTTTAGACACATGACTCAAAATTTCCTACCACATACTACTACAGTGGCTTTTATAGCTTGTTTAATTTTATAATTGAAAAATAAATTATCAACATTTTTCTCAGATTTTTGTGTTGTTGCTAGGGGGCACCTGAACAAAAAGGCAAGCACAACATCTCTTCAGATAGTCAGTGCCATGTGGCCATAACTTGTCTACAACAGCTACCCCCAACTTTTTTGGCACAGGAAAAGCTTTCATGGGTTTGGGGCTGAGGGTTCTCTAAATGATTCAGAGGCTTCCATAGCCTAGATCCCTCTAAGGTAAAGTTCATGATAGGGTTCACACTCTATGAGAATCTAGTGCTGCCCCTAAGCTGCAGGAGCCAGAGCTCAGAAGTAAAACAAGCAATGGGGAACAACTGTAGCAGAAATGAAGCTTCACTTGCTCCCTTCCTGCTGTGCAGCCAGGACCAAGTGAGGGACCCTTGGTCTAGAATGAATCCCTTCAGAGTTCTCAGACAAATGACAACACTGTATATTAATGATTTTACTAAGGTAGTAGTATGTTTTTAGTATAGATGCCACTAATTATTTTGGCTAGATTTCCTAAAAGCCAGATATTCTCCAAATAAAACATTCATAGTGAAAAATCATTAAATAAAAAATACATGCTTGTTTAAATGGCAGGTTATGGGAGTCAAACTGATCAAAGATTTTACAGAAGGTAATGAAAGACACATGTCACAAGTTCTATTCATGATGTCAAGACACGCAATCCAGAAAAACTGTAGCCATTGTAACAATAGGTTTAGCCTCTGGATTTGGTGTAACAAAATCTTGCCACCAAGGGCATTGATAGGTTCACTCAATAAAAAATTACAATAATAGCTTTAAACTAAATCATAAAAATGAAGATGGTAGTTATTGGAATAAGGTTTTTTTTTTTTTTGGTTCCTCGAATGCCTTCAGGGCCCTTTTGGCCAGCTGGAGAGTTGTGAGTTTCGAACTCCAGCAACCTGAGGCTGACAGCTTTGCGGAAGCAGCCACTTAAAGGACTGAGCTAGAGCCAGGCTCCCCGAAGATGGTAGTTATTACAGGGCAAAAGAAAGGAACTTCTTATGAAGCTACAGTAGAAATATCAAAAATATATTTTATTGGATTTTTTAAAAATTGAGCTCTTTGTTTTTAAACTAAGGTATAGAAGTAATAAAATGTAAAAGTTACTCAATAAACTACTTTATTCCATAGTTAACATCAGTGATTCAGCATGTGAAAGTAAACATAAATGTATTTGGTGTGGTCATCAATTCTGAAGCTTAAATATGACAGTTTTCAAATGAAAGGAACTAGTAAGAGTTATTTTACAGAATTTTGATTAAGAAGAAAGTAAAGAAATTTTTGAATGTATTTTTTTCTTTGTGAAAATGAACTGGGCTCATACTTAAATATTTTATGTGGTTTTTAAGTTTTATGAAGAAGTTTATTTGACAAATGTAAAAAATAATTCAAAAATTCAAATATGAATATCATACTAGATATACAATTAGACAAAAACCAAAACATAAATAATCTTTTTATTATCTCTAAAAGTACAGATATAACTATTAAAATTAGTTTTTGAATAATCTAGAATTCCTTTTTGAATCACATATTTTTCCTTTCAAAACTGTAGATTCCTAATACATATAAGAAGGATATTTTGATAGAGATATGCCTTATTTTTCTCCAGCTAAATAATGTAAATACCTAAGGAACAATCATCATA